GCCCGGCGACCGCGCTCAGCCCCTTCGGACACGGAGTTCGGGGGTCGGGGTGTCTGCCGTTGAGGCCCCGCCGGGCTCCCGTCCCTCTGCGCCCGCGTGTATCTATTTCTCTCCAAGGACCCCACGGGCAGTGCTCCCAGATGGGCCGAGTCGGCGTTTAGGGGGTTCCCGGGGCGACCCCTAGGGGGCGATGGGGAGCGCCCTCAGGCCCTCTCGCCGGCTCCGCGAGGCGGCGCGCCCGCGGGACCCGCTCCAGCCCGGCCTTTTCCCTGCGCTGTCTCCCCTCCTTCCGGTCCTCTCTCCCCTGCAGCCGCTACTCCTTTAGGTGTTGGCTTGTTTACTTATTGTTAACACGTTTTTATTGATTGATTTTAGAGAGAGAAAGGGCGAGGGAAAGATAGAAACGTCGACCGGCTGCCTCCGGCGCGCCCCCTGCTGGGCATGGAGCGCGCACCCCGGGCAGGTGCCCCGCGGGGGAGTCCAGCCCTGGCCTCCGGGTTGGAGGGAGGGCGTGCACCCCTGAGCCGCGCCGGCGGCGGAGGGGCTGGTTTAGGTGTCGCTTTCCACAGAAGCTCTCCTGTCTGGAGCCTTGATCAGATTCTCAAGTCCCACCCCCACCCCACCTTGGCCCACGTGGTCATTGTCACGTGGCTCTGTAACCCTCTGCCGGACCCCGGCCCCTCGAGGACCGGAGGACCCCGCCCTTAGGCGCAGCACCTAAGGTGGAATGGCAGGTGTCACCACGGCCTTGACTTCAAGTACCTCTCTGAGCTGCAGTTTCAGCCCTCACCTGGGCACACAGGTTGGGGGCAGGAACCCCAGCCTCCCACACAGGCCTGTGCCACTCGGCTGGTGTCACCACCTTTGCCATCACTCTGTGCTTTCAGGGATGCCAATCGCACTGGAGAGCTTTGGGGTGTCCGCAGACCAGACTCGGGTTTGGGCATCCCCGAGGCCCTCCACCCTGATCCCTGAGGACAGAAGTGCTCTGACCACACATGCCAAATGGTTTAATGTTTGGGGTAAGGAGGAGGGAAAGCAGATTTGGAGCAGTCACCCCCAAGGCAGAAGGGGGCAGTAAGTCTGGTTCCAAGCCTGGCTCTGTCCCAGCCTCGCTGTGATTCTGGGCTGGTGACCTTCCTCTCTGGGCTTGTATCTTCACTCTTCTTTGTGGGAAGGGAAGGGGTGGGGTCCAGGGTAGGAGGACTCTGTCCACAGGCACCCACAATCACTGAGGGTCCTGGCGAGACCTCAGGCACACAGCAGTGGGGGACAGGAGCCCTAGACCAGCTCGGAGGGGCAGGCGCCCTTGATCCCTGTCAGCCTGGATATTGGGGAGCGGATATGGTGTCGGTCGGGCCCTTGGGATTCCAAGGGGGCTTGAGGCTCCAGTATACAGGTCCTGATAGGTGAGGGCCCGGTAGGTGGCGGGGGCCAGCAGAGCCTCAGGGGTGGCCAGCAGCTGATGATGGAGCTGGGCAGGAGGGGTCCTGGGGGTGGAAGCTGGAGCTTTGTTGGGATCTGAGGGAGGAAATGGTCTGAGTGAACCCCAGACCTCCCCTCACATCCACACCTGCCCTGTCCCCTTCTCTGCCCCTCCCACCCCAAGTTGCCCACCTCTCAGCCTTGGCTCTTGCTCTTCCCTCTGCCTGGAATTTGTTTCCCACTTTCTCCCTCTATCCAAACCCTTCCCAGTCCTCCATAGCCCAGTTCAGGAAACCCTCCTCCAGGAAGCCCACTTGACACCCCCTACCCCTAACCTTAGCACCTTGTCCCTACCCCATTCTCTCTGCCCTGAGTCCCAAATTGTCTCAGAAACCTCTGCCTCCCCCCTCTGCCTACACAGGTGCCCAGTGGGCTTGCTGAGCATGCTGGTCCCTTCTTGGAGGCCCTGTGGCACTGTCCCCTTGCTACTCACCCATCATGCCCGCTCTGGTCCCACTGTGTCTGTGGGTCTGGGGACTAACCTTTGTCCTGCTCTGTGGAGCCCTTCAGCAGACAGGGGCCAAGGCTGCTGCGACTCCGGGCTGGCGTGCTGAGCAGGGGCCGCGGGGGGACAGTCCTGAAGATGGGGGCCAGGAATGGGGTCAGGGAGTCAAGGTGAAGAACCAGGCCAAGGGTCTGGTTCAGAGTCAGCCAGTGAGACCCCAGGACCAGTGACTGGGTGTGACCCTGAAACAAGGGTCAGGAGCCAAAGCCTTAGAAGGTGCCTGGGGCTGGGGCTGAGGGGCCGGGGCAGGGGAGGGGGGCAAAACTGGCAGGGGTCAGGCAGTACCAGGAGTCTGGGTCACTCTCTCTAAAGCCCTTGGCAAAAGGGTTGCTGGCAATTTTCAGCTGGGTGATCTGCAGAGGAGAAAGTGAAGTTATGGGTCAGCCCTGAACTGGGGAAAGGCTGTGGGACCCCAGGCTCACCCATCCCGACCTCCCTGGACCCCGCAGTCAGGCCCTGGGACCCGGAACCACAGTGGGTAGGAAGGGAGGGGAATGACCGGGCAGATGGTCACTGAGCCCCAGGGAAGGAGAGAAGGGCTACGGTCTGTGCACGTGTGGGGGCTAAGAGCCTTGAGCCTCAGTCTCCATCCCTGTGAAATGGGCTGGCAGGTGCTCCACAAGCTGTGGCCCAACCCACCCGGTGGTTCTGATAGGCGGTCACGGCCGTGAACTGGGTCTCGGTGAAGACGAAGGACTTGAAGTTCTCCTGGGCGTAGCGCTCGCTGTCCTTGCGTGGGTCCACGAAGACCACGTGGAAGCGGGGCTGGTAGCGGTGCATGGAGTTGAGGATGATCTGGGGGGGGGGGCAGCAAGCTCTCGCTGAGGCTGCAGCCCTGCCCCCGGGGCAGAGAGGATGCCCTGGGCCTGCGGCTCCCCTTTCTTGCGCTGGCAGTGCAGGGTCAGTGTCAGGAGCCCTTTGGTTGAGCGTCCGTGCCGCTCTGCCCGCTCTCACCCGCCCTCAGCTGCCCACTTTGCCTTCAGAACTACCCAGTGTGCTGCCTCTGCCATCGCCCCTCCCGCCTGCCCTCCATCGCCTTTCACCCGGGGCTCCTCCGCTGCCTCCTGGTTAGCCTGCCCGCCTCCACCTGGCGCCTCTGAGCCACGCATGCCATGCCTTCCTCAGAACCCTCCTGTGGCTCCCACCCCACCGAGTAAAACCCAGAATCCCCCCCGCAGCCACATGGCCCTGCAGAGGAGCCTGACGCCTCTAGGGCCTCTCCCCACCCCCTCGGGAGGCCCCCTTGCAGTCCCCCCAACTCTCCCAGCACTTCTCTGGCCTCAGTGCCTTTGCCCCAGGAGGTAAGCCCCATGAGGGCAGGGATCTCCCTCTGACCGACAGTGTCAGCAGTCCTGCGTGTCCGACAGTGGGCCTGCTTCGCGGTGGATGGCCGTACATTGTCCACAGGAAGGACAGTGTTTGCCAGAACACGCCCACTCCCTCAGCCCACTTCTCCACCCCCCCGAACAGTCCCCTCTGCAGTCCAGCCCTGGACCAGGTGAGCTTGGCTCCCCACCGTTGACCATCAGCAGCGGGTGGGGATGCTGGGCGCCAAAGGCCCGGCCAGCCCTGGCTCCTGGCTGAGTCACAATCGGCCTCAGCATCCCCTGACCAGGCCCAGCCCCTCCCCCGGTGACCCGGGCCTCACGTGGCCGTTGTCGTCCAGCAGGTTGTTGGTCAGTTTGAGCTTGTCGAAGGACACGATCTGGCGCATCCACTGTGCGCCCTTGGCGGGCGAGTCGGGGTGGAAGTGCATGCGGCCAGGCGTGGCCGGGTCGGCCTTGCCCGCCACGAGCCAGGCCGAGCTGTGGAAGGCGTACCTGGGGAGCAGAGCAAGGCGGGGAGGGTGCCCGTCTGCACCGCGCAGCACCCTCACCCGCTGCCCCTGCCTGGAGCCGAGACCCGCGGGGCGCGGGGACTGTCAGCGGCCCCGCTGCTGCCCACGCTCTACCCCCATCTTGCACATGAGGAGCCGGAGGCCCCAAGGGTTTCCTGTGGCCACACCTGCTGCCCTGGGCTAGCCCACTCTGCCTGTCCAGGCTGGCTCACTGCCTACTGGGCTGTTGGCCGCCCTGTGCTGGGCTCCCCTGCCTCCAGGCTCCCCACTATTGCCCCAGGATAGGCCCCCTGATGCCGCTCGGACTGGCCTCTGCCTCCCCTGAGTGCAGCTAGGGGTCTGCTTCCCCTCTCGGCACCCGAGGTCTGAGCTGCTCCCCGCAGTGGCCCCCCAGACCTGTATCTCTTGTCATCCAGGGGCACGAAGTCCATGAGCAGGGCGTAGTCGGCCAGTGAGTCCATCCCCAGGATCTTCACCTGGAAGGTGGGGAACATCCTCCTGCAGGGGGAGGTGCCAGCGGCCTGAATGCGGCCCTGGCCGCCCGGCCGCACCACGCGTGCCCACCCCACCAGCCGCTCGCACCTGCCTGCCTTGGTGACGATCATCTCTGTGCCCAGCTGGTTGAATTCCTCCCACAGGGCCTTCATCTCCAGCTGTACCGTAACGCTGGACACATGCGGGTTCTTGGGGCCCTGCCTGGCAGGCTCGCCCATGGCTTGGGCCCCTGTGGAGCCTGTGGAAGGGCCTGATGGGAACGGAGAAACCAGCTGGGGCTCCCAGCTGGAGCTGCTCATGGGCAGGGTGTAGGTCTCTGAGGCTGCAAGCACCCCAAGGCTGGCAGAGAGGAAGGCTGGGGACAGAGGACAGAAGCATGGGCCCCTGCTCGCCTCACCTGCCCCCACTCCGCCCAGCGAGCCCTCATCCTGCAGGCTGCATCTAGGTGCCTCCTTCTCCAGGAAGCGCTCCCTGACTGCCAGCTCTGTGTGTCCCCACAGTTAACGTGACTCAGCATCATTCTGTGAGGTAAATGCTCACTTAAAGCTCCTGGAGGCCAGAGACCAGGCCTGTCCGGCTCCCCAGGGGATCTGTGAGCCATCAGGTGACTGTGAGCAAATTGTTTCACCTCCCTGAGCCTCAGTTCCCACATCCGTCACAAGGGGTTCTTAATACCTGCTTCACAGGGCTGATGTGAGGATTTGTGAGGGCACTTACAGGGCCTGGCACACAGTAGGCTCTTCATAAATGACACATTATAGATAATGGGACACGTGAGATGGTGGATTTTAGGGTGGGAGTCTTTCTCAGCTCTGTGGAGACCCTACTGCCTTGTCCTGCTTAAGAAGCACTGAGCTGAGAGGAGATCCCCTGAATTACCACAAATTGCTCCTATACATCTCTGCCTCGAAAACCTGCCCAAATCCTACCTCCAGAAGCCATCTTTTTGCTCTGGCCTCCTCATTTTTTTCTCAAGATCCTGCCTTTTGATCTGCAATCCTGGCACAAGCCTTGGCCAAAAGCTTTGCCACCCTCCACCCTTCTGGTTAAAAAAAAAAAAAAAATCCTAATACAACGAGATTCTGCTTTACACTCACGAGGATTGCAATTACCAAAACAAAACAATAACAGAACATTATGAGTGCTGGTGAGGATGTGGAGCAGTGGGAACCCTTGTGCACTGTTGGTGGGGATGTAAAACGGTGCAGCCGGCCCGGCTGGTGTGGCTCAGCAGTTGAGCATTGACCTAGAATCCAGGAGACCGGGGTTCGATTCCAGGTCAGGACACATGCCTGGGTTGCGGGCTCGAGCCCCAGTCGGGGGCGTGCAGGAGGCAGCCGATCCATGTATCTCTCTCATCATTGATGTTTCTCTCTCTCCCTCTCCCTTCCTCTCTCTGAAATCAATAAAGATATATTTAAAAATAATAATAAAAAAGAAAATGGTGCAGCTGCTGTGGAAAACAGAATGGTGGTTCCTTAAAGAACTCAACTTAGAATTACCATATGACCTAATAACTTAACTCCCAGGTATATACTCAGAAGATCTGAGAGCAGCGACCTGAACAGGTGTCTGTGACCCGCGGTCACAGCAGCAGTATTCACAAGGGGCAAAGGTGGAAAGCAGCCCAGTGTCCCTCAGCGGACGAACGGAGGAGCAGAGTGGGGTGCATCCAGACGCATCAGTCAGTATTGTCAGCCTTAAAGGGAAGGGAATCCCGACAGCAGCTGCAACATGGACGGACCTCGAGGACATTGTGCTGAGTGAATAAGCCAGAGACAGGACAGACACTGTGTGATCCCACCCACAGGATGTGCCTAGAGTTGTCAAATTCGTAGACAGAAAGGAGGACAGTGGGTGCCAGGGGCTGGGGGAAGGAATGGGGCGTTATGTTTAGTGGGGAGACAGAGTTTCGGTTTTACAAGGTGCAAAAAGCTCTGGAGATGGTGGTGACGGCTGCACAACACTGTGAATGTTCTTAATGCCACTGAGCTACGCATTTAAAAATGGTTAAAACAGTAATTTTAATGTTATGCATATTTTGCACAATTAAAATTTTAAGATAGAAAAAGCATCCTGAAACACAGGTGACTCATGTGTAGCAGCCTCAGGAGGAGCCGAGGGCCTGGTAAAACCCTGGGATCCCCTGGGCAGAGGTGGAATATCAGTGGCAGGTGGGTGGACAGACAGACAGATGGGTGGGTGGCGGGAGCGTCTAAAGAGCTACCCTGGCCCGAGCTGGCACTGAGTAGGTGCCTGGTGAGAATGTGGGGCCCAAGGCCACGTGGGAGAAAGGGCGCCTTGATAAAGCTCCTGGTATTTCTGGGGTCTGAGAGTGGGTGGGGTGGGACGTCAGGTATGCAGCCCCCAATGGGGGGGCCTAAAGAGTGAACAGACGATGTCATGGAACCAGGCCATGAGATGAGCAGCTGCAGGTATGACATCCAGGTAACTGATGGCAGCCCCCAGGGTCCACGGTGGAAGTCCCAAGGGGAGAAGCTCATGGCTTGCCTGGGTCTGGGGGCTTCCCAGGCTGGTCAGTGGCTCCCAAGTCTTCTACGAGCCCCCTGCCCATCCCGGTAAACATCCCACCCCTCATCGCCCTCAGAAACTGGGGAGAGCCTGGCTGGGCGTGGCTCAGCAGTTGAGCATTGGCCTAGGATCCAGGAGATCGGGGTTCGATTCCCGGTCAGGGCACATGCCCGGGTTGCGGGCTCGATCACCGGTCGGTGGCATGCAGGAGGCAGCCGATCAATGACTCTCATCATTGATGGTTCTATCTGTCTGTCTTTCCCTCTCCCTTCCTCTGTCTGAAATCAATAAAGATGTATTTTTAAAAAAGAAAAGAAACTGGAGAGGGGCCTGTCCTCAGCCCAGTTCCTCTAAAGCCAGCACTGCTCAGGGTCAGGAGATGATACTTCCCATAGGCACCAAGCCAGGTCTGGAGGGAAGTCAGGGGCTTCTCACCCAGCCCTGACCGTGACACTCAAGGGGTGAGGCCCAGAGAGGGGAGGGGACAGGCCCAAGGTCACCCACGCCTGACACAGCTTTCACCTCTCGGAAACGGCTCTGTCCCCTGCCTATCAACACCCCATAATTGCACCTGGCTGCAAGTCCATCATCCCTGCCCAGACAGCCTGGGGGTGCCCCTGCCTCCCCCTCTTGCCCAGGTCCTGGGTCCAGTCCCCACACCCAGTCCCTTTTCTGCCCCACTCACTATGGAGCCTGAGCCCACGAGGGTGGCCTTGGCTCCCCACCATACCTGCCATGGGGACGGCTGATGTCCAGCTCCGAGAGCAGCCCTGCTCAGTTCTGGCCCCTGCCTGCCGGGAGGGGTGTCAGCCACTCCCGGGCTCCCGGTCCATTCAGCGCACAGCTCGGCTCTCAGGTGCACACTCCGCCCGGCCTCTCAGCAGGACTGTCCTTCCCTCCTCGATCACCCAGGTCTTGGTTCTGCACCTGATCTCTGCAGGTGGGACTCTGGCTCTGGGCAGGGCAGGGCCCCCTTCTCCAAGCCACCCTCGCACTGCACTGTCTGAGGCCACTGCCGCCTTGTCCTGCTTGCGCGAGGCCGTGTGGGAGGAGGGCAGGTGGGGAGGCTCTGACGTGGCAAAGCCTCCCTCTCCCTGGCCGGTCCCCCTCCTGGCTCCCTCCCTTCCCCAGCTGGGAGCCCCCAGCCATTCCTGATCAATGGGCCAAGCACAGGGTGGGGGCCCATCTTGAGGACCGGCTGGGAGCCGATGGGGCCCAGGCCTGGCTGACTGGAGGGGCTGGGGGCCGATGGGGCCTCAGGGAGGCTGCGGAGGCCACAGCAGTGGCGCCAGCAGCAAGGACTGAATGGCAGAGGCCGTGTTCTCTCACCAGGACCCAGACCCCTGACCTGGGGCTGCTGGCGAGGAGTCACCAGGGAAGCTCCAGCAGGACGCAGGGGCCGCAGCAAGTGCTGGCAGACAGAGCCCGGGCCAGGTGGGAGGAAGCCCGTCTTCCTATAGCTTGGCCCAGTGCGCTGTGCTACTGTGGCAGGTCCCTGACAGTCCCTGTGCCTCGATTTCCCCAACTGCCTGGGATGGGCTGGCCCAGCCTAGGGGGGCAGTAGGCTGGTCCTGTCCTGGTGGAGAAGCCTGCACAGGCCCCACTGGATGGGAGGCTGGCCCAGGGCCGAGGCCGCTGGGGTGGTGTCTGCTCGGCCCGCGGGGATGCCTAATCTTTCCAGCCAGACCAGGCATCTGCTCCAGGCTCCTCCCTGCTGGTCCTGTGCCGGGCGTTCGAGGGACACACAGATCACTGGTCAGGAAGGCAGGGGGCGTGGGGTCCCCCAAAGCTGGTTGCTTTCAGTTGAGAGTGCTGTTTGGCCATTTGGTCCCTTCCACATGGCCCAGGGAGGGGCATGTGGCTGGACCTGAGGTTAGCCCACTCTGGGAGGGAGCATCCCAGGCTAGCCCTCAGGCCAGAGCAGCAAGCCAGGGCACCCCAGGCTGGGCTGTACATGCTCGACCGGGGTCCCCAAGGCCAGCTCGTCCCACCCCACCCCCACTTCCTCCAGAGGCTGGCACTGGGAATGTGGGGTTGGCAGAAGCCCATGCCTACGAAGGGGTACAGAGGGGCCAGCCGTGGGAGGGGCTGCTCCTCTCAGACTCTCATGTCTCACCAATCTCTCCCCCCTTCGGCTCAGGCATGCTTGCTGCCTCAGTCCCTGGGTCCCGGACGCCTGCCTGCTGAGCTGGAGGGGTCCCACAGGGAGAGGGTGGGCCGGTCCTGGCACACGCCTGTGTCCAGCCGTGGGGGGGAGGCTGCGCCAGCTCTGGGGTTTGCTGCTTGGCAAGATGAGAGGGTGTTCTCTGTGCGTGTGATGGAGGGTCCTAGCGGCACCCAGGGGCCACCCGGTGAGGTATGGCCATGCCACCCTGTCCCAGGATCCACAGTGGGGTGAGTGGGAGGTGGGGTTGATGATGGAGGGGCCTGGGAGCTCCCTCTCAGCCCGGACCCTAGGGTGGGGCCAGCCCGGGATTCTGTCACTTGTGTGTGTGGGGGGCTATATGTATGTCTGAGTGTGGATGTGTGTACTTGCACACACCTTGGTCTGTGTGTTGGGAACCCAACACCCCCTCACGTGAACATGACCACACTTACATGCCAACCCACACGCACACACGTACACACAGACGCCAACCTGCCACCACCGGTGCTTGCACGTGCACAAGCTCCTGTGTGCACAGACACGCTCACACACACATCCCCACGCGCACACACCAGCGCACAGGCACGCCTCCCCGCGGCCCCTCCCGGCCGGCCGGCCCTTCCTGCCAGAGGCACCTCCTGGCCCCCTGCCCCCTCATCCATCTTGTCTGCCAGCCTGTCCCTGGTGTCCCCGTATCCTTCACACCTTCTCATCTCACTGCTCGATAGCAGGAGGCGGTGTGGCAGCTGTGGCCGCGGGGAGATGGATGGGCCAGGCGGGGTGGGGGCCAGGGAGTGATGCCTGGAGAGCACGGAGCTCTGGGCCCCCCAGTCCCGCGGGCAGCCAGGAAGCAGGTCCTGCCGGGCTCCCGGCGTGGGCAGTGGGAGGCCGCCCTCGCGGCCCGTCCGCCCCCAGGTCCTCTCTGCCTTGTACGGAGCGTCCAGGTCAAGACCGAGGGACCCCAGAGCTAGACCTTGGGCGCACCCCTGCCCCGGCACCTGCTCCCTGTGTGCCCGCCCCTGGACCTGCTGTCCTGGGTGGAGAGAGCTCTTCCCCAGCCCTGACTGCCCTGAGCTCCCATGGGCACCGGCTCAGTACACACCTGGAAACACGTCCAGCCACACGCAGGTCCTCCCAGAACAGCCGAGGTCCTGGGTTCTCGGAAACGCGTCTGCACGCGCAACACCTGGTGCAGGCACACGCGTGGGCACCCGGACACGTGTGCACGTACATGGGCACACACTTCTGCTCTCCCTGACTGGCTCTCTGGCCCCAGGAGTGTAGGAGGTTGGGGACCCCCTTTGCTGGCCCGAGGACAATTCCCCCCACAATGTAGGATCTTCCCTGGACAAGCATGGGCACAGAGACAGCTACCACTGGCCCCAGGACACACAGCATGCACAAGGCCACATGGGGCAGACTTGCCCCAGATCCCGAGGCCACAGAGAGCCGCCACACAGGATGGAGGACACAAACCAGGGACCCTTTGACATCCTTCCACTTTATAGGATGGGAAACTGAGGCATGGCGGTGAGGGTGTGTGTGGCCAGGATGATGGTAACAGCAGGTGGCCAAGGAGGCCCCTGAGCTGGGCACTGTGCCTCAGGAGGGAGGGCCGAGGCAGGCAGGTGCGGCCCGGGTTAGGGAGCCGGGCCGGGGGCGGGGGCCAGCGCGGGCAGGGCGGGCACGGAGAACATGAGCTTCTCCGTCTGGAAGAAGGCAATGCCCTTCTCGTAGTAGGCGGCCTCGTTGATGAACATGGGGTACACGGTGGACGCCCCTTTGTAGAGCACGTCTTCGCCGTTGAACATCTGGAAGATGGGTGCCCCGGGCCGCAGCGGCTCTAAGTCTCGGTCCTGGGAGGAGAGCCAAGGGCCAAAGGTGCTGGGGCCAACCTGTGCCCCGGCCCCAGTGGGGGCGATGCCAGCAGGGACTGCCCAGGAGATGCCTTCACTTATGGCCTCGCCCACTCTCTCCTTTACTTCCTCAATCAATGTGACAGGGTGTCTACTGAGATGCCAACGGGCCCTGTGTCTAGAACTGGAGACACGGGTCTCCTTAGAAAGACATTTGTCATTGTGGGAGCGTAGCCCAGTGGTTATGAGCACAGATAGTGAAGTCTGGGTTCAAATTCTTGCTGGCTGTGTGACCTGGAGCAAGTCACTTAACCTCTCTGTTCCTCAGCTCCCTCAGCTTTAAAATAGGGATTATAATCTCTCCCCTTGTCACCCTAAGGTTTAAATTAAATGGCTAGTAGTGCTTAAAAATGTCTGGCACTTAAGAAATATAATATAGAACTTTATTAAATAAAATTTAAAATTGTGGAAGAAATCACTCAAAATGACTGTTACTACTTCGCCTCTGCAGGGGAGACGGGCAGGGTGGTTAAGGACTCCAGCCCTACACCCTGAAAGGGTGGAGCGCCTCCACCACGACACTAAGATAACACCTCAAAAGGAAACAGAAAAGTCCAACCAAGTTCTGACTTTTCCTACAATTGTTACTTTGGTCTTCTAGAATATTTTTGAAACATCACAGTCTTCCCAGTAGTCTCTCTCCCTCATGCCCGTGCTCTGCGGTGCTCTCAGCGTTGCCAGGTCGCCCCCCTGCTGCGGGATGGACAGGGCTGACCGAGGGAGGTGGAGTTGCCCGAGACAGAACCCCATCCTTGCAGGGGTTCAGAATTACTCAGACACCTCCGACACTGGAGGGTCCCTCACCCAGGTTCCACTGGCAGAAGAGGATCCCACTGGCCCACAAGGACTCATCATGGGAGAGGGGCTCTGGCTGGTCCCTGGGCTCAGCAGCTGAGCTCTGAGGTAGAGTGAGGGGGGCCTGTGCCAACAGGGCAGGTGGCCCCTCTGAAGCCCCTCTCAAGTCTGAAGGCCAGAGGGGGGTTTGGGGAACACTTCCTAATAAGGCTAGGGCTGAGACACCTATCTCGGGCAGCCCTGCCACCTGGGCACTGCAGGAAGCAAAGGCCTCGGAGGGCGTGGGCCTTGTTCCACAGACACCCCATGTGGCAGCAGAACAGCAGCTGTTGGCCGCCCATTCTTTCCTGCCTCCCTCCAGGTGCAGGAGCAGGATTACCCAGTTCCCGGAACATTCAGGAAGGGGGGGCCTGGAGAGGAAGGTGCTGGACTCCCTGCTGAAGCACATAGGCAAACTCCAGGAATTAACTGGATATTAGAGGGCTCTGTATTTGCACCTCCAAGCAGGGTCACTGCTCCCACCCCCTCCCCACCTCTGCCTTCTGCAGCCAGAAGAGGTGTGCCCAGGCTGCTGAAGAGCCCCCAGGTGCCCTCCACAGACACTGGGAGCATCGCTGTGCGGAGTCCCAGGCTTGTGGGCAGGGTTCCTGCAGACGCAGTACAGGTGGGCAAGGGCGTCCAGGCCACTGCCCCCTGCTCCTGATTCTGAGGTGCCGGTGACCATATGGGAGGCACTGTGGTCCCTGTCTGTGCCTCAGTTTTCTGACGCCTCCCAAGACTGTGACCTAGGAGTCCCACCCTGCCACACACACACACACCTGCAGCTGAGGATGCACAGTGCCTGCCAGGTCCCCGGCCTCCGTGCGTGGGAAGTCCACACTGCCCAGGGTTCTGTAGGCCTCCATCTCAAAGGCAGGAAAAGCTGCGTCTGTGCAGGAGGCTGCGTGCTTGACCCGCCCCGCCCTCCAGGCCCTGCCCTCCAGGACCCTCCCTCCAGGCCCCTCTCTCCAGGACCCTCCCTCCAGAACCCCCCTTCCAGGCCTGGGGCAGAGTGGACCGTGTGGGCCACTCAGGGCTGGTTTCCAGCCCACCGGAGAGCCTGGCTCCTTGGCCGCTGGGCCAGGTCCCCTCCTCTCTGGGCCTCAGTTTCCTGGCAAGTCCCGGGGTCTCACCCTGGTTGAAGAGCTGGATGAAGTCCAGAGCTGCGGCCACCAGGGCCCTCATCCTGGTGAAAAGGTCAGCCCGCAGCACTCCCTGAGGCTGGGGGCCCAGCTCCAGGGCTGGGGGCCAGGAGGAAGGGGTCAGGAAGGTGCTTGGAGAGGCAGATGCTCCGCACCCCAGACCCCTGACACCACCCATCATCTGGCCTGCCCTTCCCAGCCCCGCCCTTCCCGGCTCCACACTATTTCTCCCGGGGTCTGGGCCCACCCATTCCATTCTTGGCCACCGAGTTCAGGCTGTAACTCTCTTCTCCTGTCAACTGGTACAGGATGACCCGGCAGGGCAGCTCCGGGCTCTGCAGCTGTGAGTGGAGGGGTGGGTCAGGGCTCCAGGCTTACCTAGGAGGGGAAACTGAGGCGAGGGGTGAAGCATGGAGGAAGCACAGAGCAGCAGGTGGGGAGGGGTGGGGGGGTACAGAGGAGTACCCCAGGTGGCAGGGCCCTGGGACTGGAGCTCAGGAAGCCGCCTCTCCCCCAATCCCAGCCTCCGAGAGAGGAGGCGCCAGCACCATCCCAGATCTCTTCCCCACCCTCCCTGGCTCTGCACTCTTCAGCACGGAGCCACCTGTAGGTGGCGGCACAGGTGCATGGCAAAGACGTTGTGGGTGGAATCCACGATGAGGCAGGTGCCCATGTTGGCCGTGGTGTTGTGCAGGTCCAGTATGAAGTCAAAGGCCTGGCCCGAGGCCTTGGGTCCCAGCAGCTGGTTCAGCTCTCGGGCCCTTGTCACCTCGTATGGGTCATCTGGGTGTGCCTTGGCACTGCAGGGGCAGTGATGGGGGTATCAGCCACTCACAGTCCCAGTCAAGCATCAGAGGTTTAATGGGGTGAGGGCAGAAAGCCTCATGTGCTGACAGGAGTGAAGCCCCTGAGACCCTGCAGGAGAGACAGAGTAGCTCCAGGGCTCATCCATGCCTCTGCAGCATGCCTGCCCCTCTCAGGCTCTTGCTGGCTTCCTGCTGCCCCCATAAGGCTCAAACCCTTGGCCTGCTCTGCCCGCCTGCCTCACCAGCTCTCACTCCAGCCACACTTCCAAGCAAAGTGCTGGTCTCACTTCCAGACCTGTGCACATGCTGGGCCCTTCCCTGGAAACTCCTTTTCTCCTCTCCTCACCTGGTTAACTTCTACTCACCCTCAGAGCTTGGCTAAGATACCACCTCCTCCAGGAAGCCTTCCCTGACTACCCTTGGTCAGGTTTGTGTAACCCCCACCCTGCATTTAGCCTCCTGGGTTGTGGTTACTGGGTTCTCCCTCTGTCTCCCCCAGTAAGCTGAGAACAGCACCTTGTTTCTACTCCCCATTCTCTCACCCGAGCTGGCCAGAGCCTGGCTCAGAGACGGGGCTCAGCGAATATCCATTAAAGGAAGGTGGAACAATGGTTGGGGTACCAGTAAATGCAGCCTGTGGGGCTGATCTGAGGCAAGCCCTGGGTCTGGGGAACCCAGAGGAAGCCCTGACCCACCCTGAGATCAGGAAGGGCTTCCTGGAGGAGATGATATCAATTTGGATTGCTCTAAGCTGAGAACGGAAGAATGGGTGCTGAAAGCAGAGGGGTGTGCCCCTCGAAAGCAGAGGAGGGAGAGTTTGAGGTGAGGGCCTCAGTGCCAGTCCAACGGGCTGGGCCAACCTGGCAGGCAGGGGCCCCACCGCAACAAGGACACTCACGTGAGGAAGGCGCTGGTGAAGGTGCGGTTGAGGTCCCGGCCCACATAGCGGCGGCAGGCGGCCGTGGCCGCGGGGTTGGCCAGCAGGGGCATGGCGGAGAAGCTGGGTCTCTGCAGCTCCCCTGGGGCCTGCATCCAGTACCGGGCCAGGCAGACGCCAGACATCTCATTGCCATGGGTGCCTCCGGTCACCGCCACGCGGCGCAGGGGCTCTCGAGGCACAGGCTTTGAGCACATTCCTCTGCGGGTGGCGGCCCCGGTGGGGGGACCTGCCTAGGCGGCTGAAGCACAGAAGCGGGGCCCAGCGCTCAGAGCTGGGGTGGTGGTGGTGAGCTCCCTGAGATCTGATGAGTCCAAGCCAGGCAGGTCGGCTGCCTGTCAAAAGATGTGACGTAGGGTCACTCAGTTGAGTTCCATGGCACCTCCAGTGACCCAGCTCAAGGCTTCTAACTCCTGGTGCCTGCAGTGCCTTGAGCACCCTTCCTGGGAAGGTAAGCATTGCCCTCCCTCCCATCTCCGAGACCATTTCCTCTGCCTTTGACCAGGACTTTCTTTCCCCTAAGTTGAGATGAGGGGCCCAGGCATTCAGGGCGATGGATTCAGCAGGGTGCTCTCGATAGCAAGAGGCTTAGGCCTCCGTGTCATAAACGGGGAAACCAGGGCACAGCGTGGGAAGCAGGGAGCGTCCAGTGCACCAGCTGTCAGGTGCCAGGGCCCCAGGCAGCTCCTGCTCCTTTCCACTCCCGCCTGCTCGCCTGAGCCATGCAGGGGCAGAGGGACATGGTGGTTACCTGCCGATGGCGTCCTGGCTTCCGGGGCCTCCCTCTGGGGCTGGGTGTGCACCATCTAAAGCAGAGGGTATTTGTGGGCCCAGAGATCCCCAGGCAGGAAGTGTCTGTGACGAGCTGAAAGAGAG